AATAATACCTCGAGAGACGGATGTTACACCCTAGCCTCAACCTTCAAGATTTGAGCCCTTCCTCTCTCCTATCTCCTCTTTTGGATGCTTTTTATGATATTTTGATGAAGTACAAAGATTAAGGAAGTTCTTTTGGTTGCAAGGAATGATGCTTCAAGCTTGGATCCATCAAAGGCACAACATTTCTGGACTATTGTAAGTATAAAGTTCCAATCTTGCTCTTTAGTTCTTTAAATCTCTTCATATGTGGTTTTTGGTACTTTTGGTCCATTTTATGAGTGGTCTTGGAGTTGAGCGGACTTCAACACCTTTTTATTAGTTTGGAGTGTTTCTTGGACCTCATGGACTAGGAAAGTTGTGATATTTTGCCTTCCCTTTTAGCCATGCAAGTTATCTTGGTCCTTTAGGTCATTTTGGTGCAATGAATGTAACATCCTATTTCGCATTGTTCCCATTTTGAGTTGATGTTCAAAGGACTGGGTATTAGTAGGCTTCGGACCCTCGAGAAGTTGGGTTTTGGACTCAGTTGGAGTGGTTAAGGTATTTCGGATAGTTCGGGTATTCGGTTTGTGTTCGGAATCAAAGGGGCATTTTGGTAATTTGCCAGCTCGGGTTTTTATGAAAAGCAGATGTTCGTTCGGGATATCTTGGGGTGTGTATGAATTGGTATCAATATTGAGCATCTCGTTTCCTTTATATGGATATAAGGATCGTCGGAATCGGAGTTGTATCGAGAGAGTTATGGCCTTCGGAAGAATTAGGGTTTGGGGAAAACCCTAGTACGCGGTACGTACCAGGGAGGTACGCAGGGCGTACTGATGCGAAGACGGTTACGCAAGGTGTAGTGTTGAGTACGTGCAGCGTAGGTGCGAGGTTTGGATCAGGGTGCGAGACCTCGTACGCTGGGCGTATGAGGTGGTACGCGGGGCATACGAAGGGCAGATTGAAAACCCTAATTTTAGGGTTGTACCCTATATAAGCATTATGTTAGCCTCTTTCTTCATTTCCTAAGTCAGCCCCCACCCTCTAAAACCCTATAATTCGTCCTTAATTCTTCATGGTGGCATCTTGAGCTAATGGTGTGCATTTTTGTTGTATTTGGTCCATTTATAAGAAGATGGAGGTTGGTGCAAGGACGGGAATCAAGGAAGAGCTTATGGATCTTGCTTATGTGTCTCATTTACATCTTATTGGAGGTATAAAGCTTTGAACTTGATAATTTATGTCTTAGATCTACCATTTATGAGTTTTGTTTCATTTTGGTCCCAAGAATGAGATCTAGTGGTCTTGATTCCATTCCAGGAGCTTTGAGTTGCCCCTCTTAGTGTTTCTGAGGTTCAAGGTCCATAAAGTTGGCACCTTTAGAGTTTAAATCCATACATGCATGAGTTAGAACCATTTCCATGATAGTAGAGTGTTATATTTTGAGTTTGGGTTCATTTGGGGCATGCAAAGTCACCAAGTCAATGACTTTATGGGTCTAGACGTTATTTGGGACTCAGATCTGTGGTTTGGACTTATGGGCTAAGCATTAAGTGCTTAATGGCAAAAGTGGGATTAAGAGGGGAGTACGCTGGGCGTACAAGCCAATACGCGCAGCGTACAAGCCATCTAGCGAGTACACGCAGCGTATAGCTGAGTACGCCCTGCGTACTCAGTCAGATTGGACTTCGTAATTGTGGGCCTCGAGTTGGGCCATTTCTTGGACTAAGTTACTGTAGGCCTTCGTGGACTTCGGGAAAACAAGTTTTTGGACCAAGGAAATTATTGGACTTTAGGATAAGGTCCATTGGAGAGGTTTGGGCCCAATTTGGAAAATTAGGCCATAAGTGGGCCATATTTGGGCTTTGGATGATTATGGGCTAATGGGCCATCGGAATGCCAAGTGTTTTGGACTAGAAAGATGGTTGGACCTTAAGGTAATGCCCATGTAGAGGCTTAGGCCTAATTTGGAAAATTGGGCCATTGATTGATTAATTGGCCTTTGGGGCCTTTCAGATTACAGTTTGGTCCATAGTTTTGGTCAAGGCTAGGTTAGGGGTAAAATGGTCTTTTTACCCTAGGTTTGAAGTTATGATTATGGATTAGGACCCAATTATTAATTGGGTATTGTTTTGTTATTGGGTATTGTTTCAGCAGTGCGAGGTGAGTCTTCTCACTATATCCATCGGTCGAAGGTACCAATGTCGGCCCATTACGTGTTATGTGGTATGCTAGCTGTCTCTGTGATACTTGCATGGAAGACCCCGGGGGAAGCCTGTAGCAATTGGATGTCAGACCATAGGGGAAATCCCATAACATTCCAAGTAAAGACCACGGGAGGAGCCCATGGCATAATAGATAAAGACCATGGGGGAGCCCATGGGAACTATATGTATGTGCATGATAATCTGTTGTTGTATGTGGTATGATATTTTGGGGAACTTACTAAGCTTTGTGCTTACGGTTTTTAGTTTATGTTTCAGGTACTCCGGTTTTCAAATGGAAGAGCTCTGGATGATTACAGAGCACACACCACATGGTTCCGCACTCTGTAAATTACTCTAGTTAAAAGATGTTTTGCTAAAAATTGGTTACCCCAGTTTTATAGAAACAATCTGTATTAACGATTTATTAATTTAAAAACAAAAATTTTTATGTCGTGATTTTCGGGTCGTTACAATAAAGTTTAGATCTTGAAGGATTGTGACATTATTATGGATAAAGTTGGAAACTTTATCCATCTAGACATCTTGGTGATTCAGATCTGAAAGTGGGAGACTTGGATTTAATGGATTAAGTTGAGAAATATGCATTTTTGGGTCCCTTTAAGACTTAAAGTATAGATCTTGGTGGTTTGGACCATCTTAATGGATATAGTTGAAAACTTTATCCATTATGAAGCCATTAGGAATCAGATCGGATGTTTAAGCTTTGGCCCTTATGAATTAAGTTCTTTTTGAAGAACAACCTTTCAGACTGAGGACCACGGCGTGGCCAAGGAAGGCCACGACGTGGTGGCAGGACTTATCGCGTTTGTTTTGTCTGGACGTGCCCACGGCGTGATGGCATCTCTGCCACGGCGTGGTAGTAGGTTTGGATCAGGACTGGATTGAGTGGCTACGGTGTGGCCATGGGTTGGCCGCGACGTGGGTGTCAACTTTATTGACTTTGACCGTTGACTTTTTCACCAGTTTGACTTTTGGTCAAACTTGAGTAGAATTGAGTATTTGGCTAAGGATTGATTCGGTTTGGCTTTAGGAAGCTTGGGTTGGTTGTTCTGTTGATGAGGTGGCAGTTGAGCTTCCGATGAGTAGTTCAGGTGAGTTTGCTCACTATATTGTAGGACACTAGGGATTATATGTGCTTGTAGTCTTTGTGAATCCTGTTGTATGTGGTGTATGCCTGTGTGCTTGTTTTCTATATATATATATATGGGGTGAAATAGACCTAGGGGTGAAGTAGATCCGGTAAAGCCTTGTACTGGCATATGAGTTGAAATAGACTCAGGGTTGAAATAGACCCGATACAGCCTTGTGTTAGCATATGATTTGAAGACTCGGAGGTGAAATAGATCCGGGGGTGAAATAGACCGGGTACAGCCTTATGCTGACATATGAGTTGAAATAGACTCAGGGGTGAAATAGACTCGGGGGTAAAATAGACCCGGCACAACCTTGAGCTGGCATATAAGTATGGTATGTGGTATTTTGGGGAACTAACTAAACTTTGTGTTTACTGTTTTGTGGTTTAAACATTTTCAGGTACTTCCAGTAAGAAAAGTCTGGCTTGATCGCACTGCATCCCCTGAAAATTTATTCTGCAATGATTATTTATAATTTACGTTGATGTTTTGAGAATACTTATACTCTAATCGTCTTTTGAGATAATGTACGAATGGTTTTGACTTATTTAAAATAAAAGTTTTACTTTGTATTTTTGGAACGTTACATAAAACAAGACCGATAATGGGAAATAGGTTTGAAACCCAGAAATCTAGTTCCATGTGAGAGAAGAACATCAATTGTAATGAAACCCATCTGATAAGAATCTACAAAGAAGATGATATTTGCATCAAAATCGATTTCTAGAACTAAATCCACCACCTAATGCAAATCGATTTCCAGAACTAAATCGATAAAGCTGAATTCAGACATTAAACTAAAGAGTAAATTACACGAATGGTCCTTATGCTTTAGGGTAATTTGTGCGTTTGGTCCCTAACTTATTTTTTTAACTCAGAAGGTCCCTATTGTTTGTTTTTGTTACGCACTTGGTCCCTGTCTTACCTAAAAAGACTATTTTGCCCTTGATTTTTTAATTTATTTAAATAAACACACCCCTAACCCCACCCTCCTCACCTTACCTTACCTTACCTTACCCACCCCACAATTTTCTCTGTTTAAATAATAGTCTTTTTAGGTAAGACAATGACCAAGCGCGTAACAAAAACAAACAGTATGGACCAAGTGCGTAACTAAAACAAATAGTAGGGACCTCCCGAGTTAAAAAAAATAAGTTAGGGACCAAACGTGCAAATTACCCCAATCCATAGTGACCATTCGTGTAATTTACTCTAAACTAAAAATTGGATCGCAAACTGAAATCAAACTCAAAATCGACTCTGAAACTCAACCTCAAAACTCCAAATCGATTTCGATAATTAAATCAACCACCATCATTGGACGCAAATGGTGATGGTCGATGAAGGAACGTCGATGGATAAACCTTGAATGAACAGGCCGACGGGGGAGAAAATATGTGAAAGGGAATAAAGGAAGGGTTTTTTTTAATATTTGGTTTATATAATAATAAATCAGAAAAATAAAAGAAAAAAATCAAATAAGGGTAATATAGTCATTTTAGGTCTATCAGTGACCCAACGTGCAACAAAAATACATCTTAGGGAACATCCGAGTTAAAAATATTGTTAGAGACAAAACACGAGATTACCCCAAACCACAGGGACCATTCGTGTAATTTATCCTACATTTTAGATATTAGAATGTAGTGTGCAACGATTATGCTAAAAGTGAACCCTTTAGGAATCTAGCCTCTCCGTAGCCCGTAGCAGAGGTTGTATCTCCTGCCGATCTACGAAAATCGCCTGTTTTGGAGTTTCTCACAGTCTGTAACTCATCTATGAGCTCATTCAGTGTCTGCCAAGATGACCCACCTTCCGCCATTGCTTCCTTTGCAGCCTCACCAATCTCCTTCACCTTTTTCCTTATCTCTTTCCCCTTTTCACCCTCCATGAGCTCCTTCACCATTTTCTTTAACCCTTCTGATGTTACAAACCCTTTCAGTGACCCATCACATGTCTCCACTCTTAGACCGATCTTAATCTCCTCCACCACCATTCTTGTATTCAGAGGTTGCTCAGCCATCATCGGCCACGCTAGTATCGGCACCTCTGAACATATGCTCTCCAACACAGAATTCCAACCACAGTGGCTTACAAAACCTTTTACGCTTTCGTGCTTCAGAATCTCCAGTTGGTCCACCCATTCTCGTACAATCATTCCTCTTTCTCCCACTCTTTCGTGTAGCTCGTCAACAACATGAGTCTCATACTTCCTCACCACCCACAAGAAACTCACTTGGGATTCTTCCAAACCCTTTGATATTGCTTCCAACTGTTTCGATGATATCTCTGCTTGAGAACCGAATGCTACGTATAAAACCGAGCATCCCTGAGCTAGCTTTTGATCTAGCCACTGAATCCATTCTGATTCAGGCTTCCGGTCAACGATTGGCGATGAATCGGTCACAGCCAAGGAGAGGGGACCGACACACCAAGCTTTGGGCATAGACTCGCCATTCAAGTAGTCTAAAAACTGTGGCTCTAGCTCGTAGAAGCTGTTCATTATCTGGCCAGAGCTATTCATCATTGCTTTGGTAGCTTCCATTACGAAGTCCTGAGGCTATATGGAGTGGTTACCACCAACTCACCGGAAAAGTGGTGTCACATCTGTGTCACGTCACCTTCACCACCAACCCAATCCACATAGGAAATGGTCACCACTAACAACATTCACTTTTTTATTATTTTTTTGTAACATTATGTTAAATAAATAACATAATTTATAAAATAGGTAACTTTTTTTATTTTTTGTAACACTATATGAAATAAAAAACATAATTTATAAGATAAATAATTTTTTTGAAAACACAAAAAAAAAACATTTCATTAATTAAAAACATAGATATTTAAAACCTAAAATTACTAAAACACACATAAAACCTAACAAATCAAATACTATACTACTTAATTTTTTTTTTAAAAAAAAGTAAAACATAAAAACCGTAGAAAAATACTACTCGTCGTCATCATCCTCATCATCCTCATCCGCCTTGTCGTCACCGTCTGCATTCTCGTCGTAATCATCGCCCTCATCCTCTTCGTCTCCATCGTCATTTCCCCTTGGAGTTGTCTCCCCCATATGTGCTCGGTCAAATCGTGCCGTAGATTGTGATGTGTTTCACGATTTTGTATTTCCAAAACCCTAGAGAAGTATGTCGGGCTGCCAACTTGTATTACTGCAGGTGGGTTAAGTACATCGTTCCCGGTATATGAACAAATAGCTCTGCCCTCTTCTTCTATTATCATGTTATGTAAAATCACACAGGCAGTCAACACCGTCGTTAGTTTTGCCCTATCCCATGTTCGTGTTGGATGCTTGATTATGTGCCACCTTTGTTTTAGGATTCCAAACGCTCTTTCAACGTCCTTCCGTGCAGATTCTTGTGCTAACTTGAACAATTTTTGTTTCTCATCGGCTGGAAACGAAAAAGACTTAACAAATGTAGCATACTCTGGATATATCCCATCACCTAGGTAATATCCATACTTGTATTCATTTCCATTCACAACGTATGACATATCTGGTGCTTTACCCTGCAAAATATCGTTAAATAACGGAGACGCGTGAAGCACATTCAGATCATTGTTTGACCCCGCCATACCAAAGAATGCATGCCAAAACCATAAGTCGTTTGAAACAACCGTCTCCAGTATAACAGTCGGGACCCCATGATCTCCTCGTGTGAATTGACCACGCCACGCATTGGGACAATTTGCCCACTCCCAATGTGTACAATCAATACTACCAAGCATCCCTGGAAAACCATGTTTAGCTTCATGCGCGGCATACAACTGTTCGACATCACTTTTAGTCGGATGTCGCAAGTATATGTCACGGTAAAGCTCTATAACATACTCACAGAAAAGATATGTACAATCTCGACCCGTCCTCTCAGACATTTTCAGATACTCATCTGATGCGTCTGCGGTTATACCATATCCCAATTATCTAAGAGCGGCCGTACATTTTTGTATTGTGGTAAAACCACGTTTACCTCTAGCATCCCATCGTAATTGGAAAAACTCATAATTACGTTCCAAATCTGAAGCTATACGTAAAAATAAATTTCTACTAATACGAAAACGGTCTTCGAATTTCGAAAGGTCATAAAGACTATCAGGGGCAAAATAATCACATACCAAAAGTTCATGTGCCGCCTCTCGATCCCGATTGATATATTTTCTATGTTTCTTCTCGTGGTGTGAAGTTTTGCCTCTCTGACGAATCACGTCTTGTGCCGCAGACAATAGTGTGTGCAACACCAAATCGTCATCAGAACCGCTATCCATTTTTTTGTTGAATTTGTATGTTTGATTTGAGAGAATTTGTATGATTGTTTTAAAAAAATTGTGTATAAGTGGATGTATATATAGACAGAGAAAGGAAATTAAAGGAAAGTTTTTTTTTTTATTTAATAACCCAGCCAACGGTCAAAATTAAAGGACCAATGAATATACACGTCTTCGTCCGTCCTGGGAGCCACGCCACCACCAACCCACTGAATCCAGGGGTGGTGTTCACGCGTGGAGAGAGCCTCCACATAAGCATTTCATGAGGACCCGTGGGATTTCGCTGGTTAAAAGGCTCGAAAAAGTCATTCCTAGTGACTTTAATCCACGGGAACTTGGTCACGGTGATTAAGTCGCCATCGGTCTCAGGTCCACACAACAACCGGTTTCCAGCCACTTGTTGAGTTACAGCGGTGGAGTAGCCGCTCATGCCAAAATATGAGAGGCGAGGGATCCCAAACTTATTTGCCGATTCAAGAGTCCAACTCAGAAACCCATCAGAAACGATGCAGGTCACATGGGGAATTTTCTCGAGTGCTTGTTCAAAGTATGGTTGCATAAGCTTGGTTGCAGTGGCAAATTGCGGGAAGCAGGACATAGAAGGGAGCTTGTCGGTGCTCTCTATACCTTGAGGTATTCCTTCAACTTGGTTAGGAAATGGCAGGTCAACAATGGAGATTGAATCTGCTTGTCGGTAGAGAAAGTCGGCGATGAATTGTCGGTTGGCTTTTGTGGTGAAAAGGGTGAGTGTAACGCCGCGGGAGACGAGAAGCTGGGATAGGTGGAGCAACGGGATTGTATGGCCTTTGGACATGAACGGAAACAATACAAAATGAGGAGGGTTTTGAGTTGAAGTCATCTGTGTGATGGAGGAAGGAGCACAGAGAGATCTGCACCTTCTAGACTTAATTTGTGGTTGAAAGGAGTTCATAAGACTTAAGAGAGACGTGCTAGGCTTTGGTCTTAAATAACATGCATCCCTTGTCAAATTATTTTAATGGGATTTAAATGCAAATTTATGTAATAATAATTATTATTTTTTTAATTGCTTGAGAAAAATGAGTTTTAGAGAAATCATACAATGACGATTTATTATAAAAGCAAAATATTTAATATTATAACAAAAAAGAATCCATGAGAATCTCATTGTGTACCAATTAAATGTTTATCTATACAACATTTAATATTTCTTGTACATATAGGTAAAGTAATGTTTCGTTACTTTATTAATTTATACAATTGAAATGAATTATACAAACATAACTACCTGATCTTAGAAGATATTAAGAGATAATCTAATTTTTTGGCATTTGTCACCGTTAAATCCGAAATAACCATTTCTGATTTTATGAAATATATAATGTCACTACAAGGAACGAGGCCTATACCGACGACTTTTTCAACACCTATGCCGACGACATGTCTTCGGTAAAACCGACGACTTGTCGACTGTACAAAGTCGACGGTATAGCTCCGTCGGTAAAAGTCAAAATTGTCGTTGGTATAGATGTCGTCGGTACAGATCCACCTATGCCGACGACTTGTCGTCTATAAAAGATCGTCGGGAAAGATTTTCGAGGTAAAAAAAAAGTTTTATTATAAATCTATACCGACGACTTGTCGTCGGGAAAAGTTTCCAACAGTTTTTACAGGTAAAACCTATACCGACGACATGTTATCGGTATAAGATTTTTTTTTTTAATAACAAAAAAAACAAGTCTTCATCTTCAAAATAACAAAAAGATTAACAAAAGCACAAAATAAGAAAACAGATCTTCATGTTCAAATCTACAATTATAAATATGTAATCAAACATATATAAAATTTCAAAAAAAAAATAGGAAAAAAAAAAAAAACACTGACCTGTTTTGTTCTTCTTGATGTGATGGCCGGATTCCGATGGTCGGATTTGATGGTGGTCCTCCGGTAGTGGTTGGTGGGCACCGGAAAAGCACAAAATAAGAAAACAAAAGAAAAGCCCCCAAAATCAGAAAAACTTCATCCTTACCTGTTGTAGCGAAGATGATAAGCTGGAAGGAGCGGGGTGGTCGACGACGATGGTGAAGGAAAGACGGTGGTGAACAGGTGAAGAGTGGAGGGTGGTTCACGGCTGGCAAGAAATAAAAACTCTCAAATTTTGAGTTAAAAACTTGAGCAATCATAAACAATCAAGAAAACAAGGACCAAATATGTACCTATATCTCGTCGCCGGTGAAGATTGTGCAAAATCGTCAGTCCAGTCCGAGAGAGAAAGATTGTATCGTTCGCTGCAACTGAACGATGAACGATGCACTAATACCTTCTGTAAGGGTAAAATCCTATGCCGACGACATGTCGTCAGAATAGGGTTCAAATAACGACGTCGTTTCTATCTTTTGTCTTTATTAAAAGAAATTAAAATTTTCACGCGGATCGCCACGTTAGATTCTTACCCTATACCGACGACTTGTCGTCGGCATAGAGTTTCAGAAAACTATGTCGTTTCGGTTTTCTACAATATCGAATAAAAATTCAATTTGTTGTACCTTATACCGACGACATGTCGTCGGCATATAGTTTCAGATGACCGCGAAAATTTTTGTCTTTCTCACCCACACTGTCCCGACGACTTGTCGTCTGGATACCTTTTAAGGTCAAATAGATCTGGTCAAAGTAGTAAAACGTTTTGGAGACTACGTGTTGTCGGGGTACGTGTCGTTGCGATAGTCTGTTATTCTTGTAGTGTGTGTATATTTTTTTCTAACATGCACAAAATACTTGTTAAAATCTCCCACTAATACCAAATGGACTTTGGCCTAGCGGTAAGGAGTGACTCTCTTAAATGAGAGGTTATGAGTTCAAGTCTCTTAGAAGACATAGGTGGTATTTAGGAGTAGATTAGTTAGTTTTCTGTTTCAAAAAAAATCTCCTACTAATTTTCGGAATGTCTAGTATAACCGTTTTTCTTTAAAATATTCATTGTATGCCATTGTGTAGTATTTATTTCACATTTCTGTTTTTTCCCTTTTTGTTGGATTTCAGTATAAAATTAAATAGTTTCTTGAAATTCCGTTTTGTTCATCGGATTTTAAAATTTTGAAATAGTTTTTTTTTTTTAATACAAAATGTATCTTTTTGTCATAAAAAATAATTTTCATATAACATAAAGTTAGTGATTCATTCCAAATATGATTATTAATTTCCTTCAATATTAAAATCATTAGCCATTTGTTTTATTCTTAATAGTCATTTTCGTAGATATCCCAAAGTTTTGTCAAGTATGTGCCTAAAATAAAAGAAACATCATTCATCTTAGTGAGTCATTTTAAAGTTTCTAGAAGATGTTTCTAAAAATCGTGATTATTAATGATCGGTGTATGACAAGTAAACATGTTTTCGTATAATTAAAAAAAAAAAAAAAAAAAATGCCTGTCAATGACAAGGTCTTCGAGCAACGGTAAACAAGCCAATGCCGTGGCTTCCAATCCTTTAATCCGCAATTCTGAAAAAAAAATGTCTGCCAAATGCCAATGACAGGTCGTGTTATACTTTTACTATTTTTTATTTTATTTTTGTTGTATTTTAAAAACGGCGGATATAAACAAGTTTGTATTGGGATAAAAGGGTGTGGGTAACTCTCATCGCTGTTTTACTGCTTATTGCTTATACTGAGTGTTAAAAGATGTTAAAGAGCATTCTTAATAAGAACAACGCCAAAAATTTCAATTTAAGAGATTAAACGGGTGTTTGGCTTAGTTTTTGAGATGACAAAAGTCCTTTTAGGAAAAGTTGCAAAAAGTCAGGTTTACGTGACTTTTTCCAAAAAGTTCATTTTCCTTATATCCAAAAGTTATCCAAAAATAGTTTTTATAAGATTTGTTGCTTTTACCAAACATCTTTTAGCCTTTTATCTTTTCCTAAAAGCTAAAAGATGTTTTAAAAGATAAAACAAACACCCCCTAAATCTACCTCTATGCTTGAACCATTTGTATGATATCTGTCCGTTTTCATCAAACACACCTATTCTTCTTGAAACCTTTCTGTTGAGTTTAAACTTTGATGAACACTTTGCTTTCAACTATAGCAAGAACCGAAAATAAGAAAGGAAAAATAACAAGAGAAAATTACTGCTTAAATCTTATTGAAAACAGGAAAACCATTACATCTATTTATACCAAACTAAATAAAATCCTAATCCAACACTAATAGAATCTTTGTGTAATACAACTACTGGAAGTAAACATTACTAAATAATAAAATAAGGAAACCTACCTAAATCACCCTTACTCCTAAAATTCCAATTATCCTAAATAGGAAATCAGTGTGAGATTGTATCATTCTTGTTGATCAAAAAATGAATATACACACAATATATGTACAACGAGTACAAGCCACGGGTTAAGGTATAACTAAACAATATTACAACATAAAGTGGGCTTAACACAAAATACAAAATATATAGTCTAAAATGCTCACGCAGTTTGAGCACGAGTTGAGGAACACTTAAGTTGGACGGGAAATATGTAAATAATAAAGAAGGGAGTCTCATGGTGAAGATGTATACATACCGATAGTAAGAGGGGTTATTTTTTATTTTTTTCACCGACTATCTTACTTTATAGCTAAAAAGAATATGCTTTCCAAAATCCAAATTAGAAGTGTGCTATCCAGATAGCACTTGTTATAAAAAAACAATGAATAAAATCAGGTCAAATGGCATCCATATGAAAGAGCTACGAAGGTTCAAATTAAAAATTAAAAAAACAAATTAAAAAAAAAAACATTATTTTTGAGGTGGTAGACCGAAATGGTGACAATTGTCTTAAAATATTATTAATTTTATCAAAATGAGACATATGTCACATACAGATAGAAAGATAAGAGGATATTAATTTCTCTATTTATGACATGTGGTAACAAGGGTTTTATCTACTTCGAATGTTTAGCAAGTACAACTAATAATACATGATGTACAATGTTGTAAAATGTTGGCTGAATCATATGTCAAAATAAATTAAAATATACAAACTCACAATTCACGAGTCACGACCAACACTCGTCACACTAAGGACGGCTTGTCCACTTTTCATATGATTTAATTAGACAGATTTAATTCACAAAATTGTTCCCAAGAATATTGTGGTTCTTCTTCACATGTTGCCAAAACATAATACTTTTCATATGCAGTTTGCAACTCCAAAATGAGAGCACGTGCAGCCTCACGTGACTCAGGTAACTGATCACTCAATTGTGATACCCCTATTTCAATCAGTTTCTCCATCCCATATGCTTTCATTTCCTCCACACCCTTAACAAAACAAAGTAATGCTATTTTCAGTTTGAAAAAAAGAAACTAAAAAAAGTAAGTAGATATCCATACCAGTTGTGGGACACTACGCGAGAAGCACATTGACGCTTTTGCCCTTACCCGAGGGTTTCGGTTCTTAAGATAAGGTTGTAGTTTTGGTAAAAGTAGAAAAGCAGAAACAAATGTTGTGAGGGCTATTAATGCCTTTTCAGCAGCCTCACATACAAACCGCTTGTCTTGTGAGGATTTTAAAAGAAGTTGTACAAGCTGTGAATCCAAACAACAAAACTTCAATTAATTAATTATCAACGTTTTTCAAGAAAAAAGAAAAAGGAAAAAGTATTTGGAAATTACCAAAGGGTCTAAAAATTCGATAATGTGGTTACCAAATGCTTTGAAAATGTCGGCGGAAGTCATGATTCCGGTTTTACAAACTGCACTTCTTGGATTCTTGAGGGATTTTACAATTAGGGTAATCACTCTTTCCCTGTTTTTGGGATGAATGAATAATTCATACAATATACATAATAAGTTTATGAGTGTATATACGAATAAGGCTTACAGTATATCTTTTATTGCTTCCTTATGGTATATGGAGAAACGACGTACATTATTGAGTGTTTCACAGAGTAAAACCCAGTCTTTTGAGTCTAAACCGGTTAAGAGCATCTGAAGAGGGAATGAGGAAAGTATTTAAAGCTTTTATTTAAAAGAGTCAGAAACATTATATATTAGTAATAGAAAGAAGGTAATTTAGTTATCTACCTTTAGACTCTTGTCAACGTCTTCAAAATCATCCAATTTCTCAGATTCAACGTATTCTACTTCAGCAACCCCACCATTTACCATGTTTGGTGTTTCTTTAGGTTCAAGATTTTTAGATTTAGGTAGTATATTAAGATCTCTGATGGCATTTTCTGACATCATTATACAAAGCTGAAATAAAATGAAAGAGGCCTCATAGTGTAAATAACATTTGGGATTGACATATAACAATATACAAGAACATCATATGCATATGAAAGATGTGTTCACTGTTCACAGAACTATGATGCATTCATCAATGAGGAATTTTTTGTCAACCACTGGAAAATTATTGGATCAAAATCTCTTATTTGGATCATAAGCTAAGTAGTAACATAACTTTTAAATAAATGTAAGAATTAGGGGGTGTTTGGGATTGAATTTGAAAATTGCTTATTGACTTATTAGTTTTTCAAAAAGTCAATATGATTAAAAAGGTGTTTAGGAAATAACAGAACGCTTTACCCTCAAAAAGAAGTTTTTAAAAAGGTTCTAACTTTTGAAAAATGCTTATAATTTATTCATCTATTTATAGCTTCTTGCTGTCATATAAATTAATGCAAACACTTTTTTAGAAACTTTTTTTTCACCATATAAGCTATTAATAAACACTAAAAGTGTTTATTAAGTTAAATAAACAATCCAAACCCCCACCCCCCCCCCCCCCCTTCACTAATAAGTTCCTTAACCCAGAATATTCGAACAGCACTCTTACAAGCATGAATCTTTCCAACCAGAAGAAGAAAGAAAGGAATCTGCAACAATTCTCCAACAGGAATCCTTAGAATGTTGAACCAGATACATTAATACAATCAAAACTAAGAGAGTTAATGGAAGAAAGGGCAAAATTGAAAAGGGGCATAGGAAAAATCTTAAAATTCACCTTTGGTTTTAACGAGATTAACAGAGCTTGAAGTCGACAGATCCAAATGTGAAAACCCTATCTGCGTTCAGTAGATAGTACACACTACACACACATACCATCCCCTAATAAATGCATGTATATAGACAGTTAAAAATGGCGATAAACAAAATTAGAAATATAAAATTAGCATACCATGCGCCTGCTGAAGAAAACTTGATGTGAAATGATCGACGCGTGTCGGTGTGTAGTATCTGTTTAGGTGGCAGAAATAGGGTTTTAGGAACCGGCCCTGAAAAGAAGAAGTCAGACAATGCTGACCTACGCCGGCAGGAGCTAGAAACTTTAGTCACCGCCGACGAACGCTATGTAGATGACGAAGGGAAATTGTTCATAGTAAATTGACTTATCAGTAATTACCGTTTGTTCATTTGTTCATAGTAAATTGACTTATCAGTAATTACCGTTTGTTCATTTGTTCATAGTCAATCTTAATAGATTGTTGCGCTGCTTTTATCTTGCTTCGGGTTTGAAAGTGAATCTTGTCAAAAGCAAAGTGTACGGTGTTGGTGTTGACAATCTAGAAGTGCAAAGGCTTGCTAGTATCTTTAATTGTGAACCCGCTTCATGTCCGTTTACTTATCTTGGACTTCCTGTCGGTGCAAAAAGGAAACTTGCCAAAAATTGGACTCCGGTGGTTGATAAATTTAAGAAACGGTTGTCTAAATGGAAGGTAAAATCTCTTTCTTTCGGCGGTCATCTCACTCTTGTGAACTCGGTGCTCAGTAGTTTGCCTAATTATTATTTTTCACTTTTTAGAGCTCCTAAAAACATTATTAATTTGCTAGATGGCATTAGAAGGCGTTTCTTATGAGGAGGTGATGAAGATAAGAAGAAAATAAATTGGGTGGCTTGGGAGATAGTTACTAAGCCACAAAGAAGAATGGGGGTCTTGGTGTTGGAAACCTTGAGGTGGTAAATTTGGCGCTTCTTGCCAAGTGGTAGTGGAGATTGAAAAGTGAGTACAACTCTTTTTGGTTTTCTTGTATAAAATCTATGCATAAGTTGAAGCTTATTGATGGTAAACCTTTAGCTAAGAAATCAATAAAGAGCGTGTGGTTGAATATCTCTCAAATCGACATTGATTTGGAAGACAAAGGTATTATGTTGCCTAATCTTTTTAAGAGGATTGTTGGATGCGGTGATAAAACTTATTTCTGGAAGGATTTATGGTATGGAGATATTGCGTTAAAAGAGGTTTTTCCCAATCTATACTCGTTGGAGACCAACAAAGATTGTCTCATCTTGGACAAGGTTAATATTGACGTTGGTGCAGTTTCGAAGTGGACGTGGAGCTGGTCCAGAAATTTGCACAGAGGTAGAGAAGCTAATCAATTTGTGAACTTGATGAGCATGCTGGATAATTTCCAGTTTGCAAACGGTATGGATAGATGGCAATGGAATGGTACGGAGGATAAAGACTTCTCGGTAAAAGCTATAAGGCGCTTAATTGAGAAGAATGGTGATGACCATGGTTTTTCTTTCATGCGGCTAAAGTGGATTCCTTTGAAGATTAATTGTTTTGAGCGGAGATTGATCAAAGACAGGATTCCTACATTTCCTAATATGTTGAAGCAAGGTATAAATGTGCTTTCTTCATCATGCCCTTTCTGTAGGATTGAAGAAGAAAGTATTGATCATACTTTTTTCACTTGCGTTGTCGCTGCAAGATTGTGGAGTTAGCTGGTGGAGTGGTCGGAGATTATGCAAAAGCAGCCTAATTGTTGTTCGGATTTACTGGAGTTGCAGAACCAAAAGATAAGTGATAAAAGAATCAAAAAAATGAAATGTGTCTCATTTACTCCACACTTTGGGTGATTTGGAAAGCTCGAAATGCGTTAGTCTATAGAAATGAAAGGCGAGCAGTAATGTTTATGACAGATGATATTAGTGTCCGCACATTTAATTGGATAAAAAATAGGGTTAAGTCATGTAATCTTGATTGGTATATGTGGTGTATGTCTCATATGTTGTGTTTCTCTTGTAATCAGGCTTGAGCTGCTCGCTTAAGTCTATTTTTTCTCTTTGTGCTAATAATATTTGCTCGCCGTTCAAAAAAAATGTAATTAACGGTCATACGAACATTTCCGTCAAACTTTTGTTGGGGACATGTAAAAAAAAGGGTCCTGTTTTATGTACATGACTTTTAATTTTTTCTCTCATGTACCCTCATTTTTTGTCATCCATTTTTTGTCATCTAGAATTTTTTGTATTTTGTGCTTTTCTTGTAATCTTTTTTGATTTTTTGTTTTTTTTTGTTTTTTTTTTATATTTTTTGTATTTAATAATTAAAAAAAAATCATCGTGGGTAATGCAAATATATAAATACAATTACACCTCAATAACTTCTTTTATAACTTTACCGTAAATGCAAAATTGATTGTTCTATCAATAGTTTTTCTAATATTTAGAAAAAAAAACGTGAAATGAAGACATCACTTATATATTTATTATTTATATTTATATTTATCTAAACTAACTAATTATAAATAATTAATACAGTACAAAACACTAACAATTCGTAGATTTTTTTTATCCTTTATGCTTTTTTGTATATATATATATATATATATATATATATATATATATATATATATTTTTTTTTTTTTTTTTTTCTTTTTTTTTTCTTTTTGGTTTTTTTTTCTTTTTTGATTTTTATAAATAAATTTATTCCCCAGATATATTGCCTAGATATATGTTTTAGTCTATCATGGAGCTGTGCACTTAATCTTTTTCCTATTGACTCCAATATGAATGACAAAGTATTGATTCGACGTTACTATATTGCGTAGATATCCTTTTTAGTCTATCATGGAGCTGCTAGTGTTGCATTTAGTCTATCAAGATCTTTTTAGTCTATAAAAGGATCATTGTTACCGATACATAAATAAACTCTTCTTCTCTTCCCTTTCCCGTCCGAATAAATTAATGACAATCATTTTGAAACCTTTCGTAGGGGTGGTTTATATAACGTACTAAATCAATACATCAACAACGATTTGATCATATGGCAAATTTTAAAAATGACCATGTTTGTTTTTTTTTTATAGTTTTGTATATTAATACGTTGAGACAATTTTCAAACTGACCAGGTATGTATTTTATTTGTCAGGTGTTTAGCACTCGTGAGAATTTGAAGGAGTGGGTTGACCATGTGGCACGGACTCTTGGATATGTGGTCATTACAAAGAAATCAAAAACGAAAACAAGTGGAGGCTATGTTTCAAAAATCATTTTAGTTTTTGATCAGAGTGGTGTCTATAGAGGTACAAATACATCTGGTAGAAATACTGGGACAAAAAAAATTGTCCCCTCTAATTGCTAATAAGTATGGTGTTATTGTTCATTTCTTAAGCAGGCTCGAATCTTCAAGGTCTTTCCCACTTCGGAGTGGTCCACAAGATTTCCCAAATCATCCAATTATAAATATCGCTCTCCTTAACGGTGTTCATTATGTTAAGGTTGATTTACAAGAGGGTCATCCAATGGCTAATATTTCTTGGATATGGAATATGCACAAATCAGCACGCTCTAATGGATGGCAAACATTGTATCACGCTCGATTGAATGCTTACGTTGGACCATATAGACCATGCAATAATTCTAACGTCCGGGTTTCGGGGCTAAGCATTAATAGATGATGTAATAGTCTAGGTCAACTATTGTAACTCTTTTGAAGTAATAAAAATGAATTATTTGAGTATTATGTGAATATATGTGCTTTATACTTAATTATAAAGGTATAATTAATAAAGAATAAAAATAAGCGTCAAAATTAAAGTGTGAGATAAACCTGATATCTTTACATAAAGTGGTGGTGGTTGAAACAAGGATTCCGGGGATATAAAGAACGCTCAAATCTGACTTCGTATGAGGAAGTTATGATTTTTCTAAAATTTGGCATAGGCCCGAAACTCGAATTTTAGTTCGAGCAGTTTTTGGCTTACGCGACCTAAATGAGAGTTGAAGATCTCATTAATAGGAACTCAACGACAAAAAGACGGACGAAAACGGAGTCCGTATGTAAAAGTTATGAATTTTACGCGGACATTTAACAATGTAATCACCTCCTACTGTTAAATTTAAGATCGGTCGAGAATTAGCCGACGGAGTAAAAAGGAAAGTTGTAGATTTTATTTTTACCTACGCGTGGATATAAATAACGTCAAAAACGGAGCTCGTATGCGAAAGTTATGGACGAAGCTTAGTCTCTACTTTTCGAGCGCGGCGAATTCGATACAGTTTTGTAAATCCGAGATAGAATGAGAATTAGCCAACGGTGTCTAAATGAAAGTTGTAGTAATCGTAAATACAAACGTGTGGATATAAATAACGTCGGAAACGGAGCTCGTATGCGAAAGATATGGACGAAGCTTAGTCGCTACTCTTCGTGCGCGATAAATACGATACAGTTTTTGTAAATCTGATATAGAAGGAGAATTAGCCGACGGGGTCTAAATGAAAGTTGTAGTACTCGTAAATACCAACGCGTGGATATAAAGAACGTAGAAAACGGAGCTCGTACGTGGAAGATACGGACGAAACTTAGGGGCTACTTTACTATAAAATCCCTATAAATAAAGGGTGAACTCTTCATATTTTCTTCACACCATAAGCCTTTCTTTCTCTCTCTAACTTCTCTCTAGCCTCCCTAAACCCCTCCCAAGTCTAGGGAACCTCCCTAGCACGAGAAGGAAGCCCCGGAGCACCCGACGGCTCCGAGAAGAAAAGCTTTCGGCTCAGAAACGCTGCTCCAGCGAAGCCCGGTTTTTAATAAAAACCCGCTGTTTTGTCGAGGA